GGCTGGCAGGGGGGGCAGTTAGGGGTGATCAGGCCGACATGCAGAGGCAGTGAGGGGTGATCAGGCCGGCAGGAGGGGGCAGATAGGGGCAACCAGGCAGGCAGGCAGGTGAGCTATTAGGAGCCAGTAGTCCAAGATTGTGAGAGGAATCCCAGATTGGAGAGGGTGCAGGCTGAGCTGAGGGGACCCCCCAGCCCCATGCACGAATTTTGTGCACCAGGCCTCTAGTTCAATATAATATTTGATTCTTGCTGAAAAACTAAAGTTAATGAAACACTTAAATTTCTGCAGTTTATATATTTTAAGAGTATTAATAAAATTTTTAAAATAATTCCTATGGAGAATTTGTGTAAAATTATGAGGAACATAGGTTGCCAAGAAGCTTACCAGATATGAGACTGAATTCTAAGCTGTATATTACACTTTGACTCTAAAAAATTCTCTAAAATCTCACAGAATGTAAATAAAATTTCAAAAATATGTATATGAAGCTATAGAAAACAAACATTTCTCTTGTGTTCACACCAAAATCTATATAGCTTTAAAAAAAATCAAATGCAAAACAAAGAAGAGAGAATATTATTTTTAAAGGGTCAACATAAAAAGACCTCCCTGAAAAGTAATTTGAAGTATACTTAAATGGGAAGTTTTTGTACAAAACCCTATAGTGGACAAACACAGAGTTGGCAGCCATTGTCATATTCATAGTAGCTTTTGCATGGGAGTTAATAAATAACCAAAGCTATCATTTGTCTTTTTCATTCGAAGCCCTGATGAAATTTTTAAAAGGGTTCCCTCTCCCAGCCCCACTGAGTATGTAACTAGGACCTGAAAAGAGGAATCCTCTCAGGCACAGGACCCGAGACTATCTTCCATCTTCCTCCTAGCAACTAGAACTGGTAACAACACCGGCAATGTTTCATTGCACAAACCAAATGGCCTGATGGTCTTATGAGCACAAAGTTTATTAGTAATCATTTTTCATTCTGTAGGTCTCCTTCCATTATCCAAAAAGAAAACTGGTGCCTGAATAATCACAAACATTACAACATAGAAGTGAAGATGTAGTTACTTGTCATAGGTAGAGCCCCTCCATTTTTATCAAGCTAGCACCTTCGAGGGCAGAGTTTGCTCTGCATGTTTGTAAATTTCATGTCAGATGCATTTTTATTTTCAATTTTTATTCTTTATCAAAAATATAAAATCAATTAATTTGACAAGGGTTAGATACTATGGTTCATATTTTAAAAGAATTAAGATATTGATCAAGATTATTTTCAGTTCTGAGAGATTAGAAAATCTTTTAAAACTGAGCTAAACCATGATTCTTTAAAAGAAACATTATAATTCAACTTTTCTATACAATTTAACAGACTATAGGTGAAATAAGCCAGTCAGAGAAAGACAAATGCCATATGATTTCACTTATATGTGAAATCTAATGAACAAAATAAACTAACAACAACAACAAAATAGAAACAGACGCATAGAGAACAGACTGATAGCTGTCAGAAGGAAGGAGGTTGGGGGCTGGGTGAAAGGATTATGTGATTATGCAAAAAACAAACAAACAAACAAAAAAACAACACACACCACCCCCCAAAAATCCTCATAGACACAGACAAGAGTATGGGGGTGGGGTGGAGGGAGGTAGGAGAGGGTAAAGGGGATATTCATGGTGATGGAAGGACACTTGACTTTGGGTGGTGAACTCATAATACAATATACAGATGATTTATTATAGAATTGTACATGTGAAAGCTATATTATTCTATTAACTAATGTCAAACCAATAAATTCAACAAAAATCAATAAAAACAAAGGAGAAAAAATGAAAAAGATTATTAAGAAAACAGCCTATTAGATTGAAAAAAATTACTGTAAATGATAAAAAACAAATTCTGAAATATCTTTATGGACAATATAAATAGAATGTTAAACTAGAGTAATAAAACATTATAACAATTTATAATAAAAATGCTTTGATATACAACAGCTTATTTATTCTTTCCAACTTTTTTTAAGTGAAATCAACCACCTTTGTTTTATTTTTATTTTCTTCACAATAGGAGAAATCTGAGGAAAATATAATCACAATTTTTTCAATCCTCTTCAAAAGTAAGTATCAGTTCTGGATCTTTAAGGGAAAGAGGAAATGCTATAATGAAAACTGAAGATGAAGATATGAAGTTGTGTTCACTGTTCATCAATAGGTGGATAATAAGAGAACATAAATAAAAAAATCCATGCCAAAATTTCAGTGAAAGTTTTTATTCTTTGTGATTTTGTATTTATCTAATTTCACATATCAGGCATCATAGAAAATATTTTGTATAATACAATTTGTTCCGGATATGTGTGTATGAAAAAAAAAAGACACAGGATAAAAGTCCTTACAACTGTGTACATTTATAAAGAAATAAAGAGGAACCAGTGAAAGGGCTAAGTGTGATGAGATCATAAAAAAAACCCGGGCGTGGCTCCCAAAAGACCTGGGTCTGGCCATGACTCTGGTCTTTGTTAACCATGTAAATCTGTGTATTCACTTAACCCCAAACCGCTTTCATAGTTCTGAAATATAAAGATAAATACATTCAGAAAGACCAAATGAAACCTACGTATACTTGGCCAAGAGTTAACAAAAGAAAATGTGAATATCTGAAAGAAAAACCTATAGTCCACAAATTATTATAGACATTATAGATTTCAGATGGCCAAACAGAGATGTAGCCTTCACAGATCGGTTTGGTAAAGTATTTCCCATAGAGAGCAAATCCTTTTTAAATAACACTTTAGGGCTGAAAGTGGGCATCATTTGGATATGATTTCCAAAGGCTTATTTTCCCATGAGCACTCAGAGTTGCTGTTAGTATGGGTTATATTGCTGATGTTTAAAAACTAATGAGATTCTAAAAGAAAAGGTATTTTTTAGTAAATATGTATCCAATAATATTAAAAATATAATTTTAAATTGTTTTTCAGAAAGATTGTCAATGACCAAAAGAACATAAAAGAGAAATAAGCCACCTCTTAAACAGGATCACCTCTGGGCAAAAGGGGATAGAATATCAGCCCCTCCTGGCACAGAGAAGGTTCAAATGAGAGAGAGAGCTGCAGGTGGGGGCTGGGGATTTCTGTTAAGACATGCTCTGAATTTTTTCCTTTTGTTTCAAGGTTTTTGGAAATCTTTTCCTTCAGTGCTGTGGATTCCTAACATCTGATTGTCCTCCTGCAAAGAAATTAGTTTATCAAATGGGATAATTAATTTCAAATCAGGGCATCAATTCGGAATTGCGTTGCCCCTGAATTTATTGTTTAAAGCCATCACTAGTTATTGTTTACTGATACTCATCATTTCAGAGAGTGCAAAGTCACAACTTCATACCTATGCTAATGAGCAAGATGAGATACTGACCTTATCACATTCATTACCAGATACATAACTTGTAAGACTAAAACACTTTTGCACTCTCATCCACCTCTTTGTTTTCCTTGTTCCCACCCACTGAACAGCCCAGACAGCCCAGGTTTGTTTTATTCAGATTCTACATAGTGGTTAACTATAAAATCACTTTGTTCAAATACTACTGAGTTGAACAGTTTTATTTTTGTTTTAAATAAATGTAAAATTATTTTTAAAATACATATGTAATGAACACAAAGGATCCTAAAGACAAAGAGTAACATTTGCTTTGTCATTCTGAGAGGCCAAGGAGGGGCAGGCAGCATGGAGCTGGACATCTGAACCTACCTGTCATGGTGAAGCCGCCCACCAGCAGGCCAATGTCTCGGCCACCAACTATGATGGCCTCCCTGCGCTCCTCTGCGCTGCCACTGTTTTTGGTTTTCCAGGCAGCCCATATTCCAACAGCCAATATTAGAAGGTAGAACAGGATGATAGCTATCAGTCCTTCCACATGGAAAGCCATTTTTATCTAGAGGTCTGGAATCTTCCACAGCTGGCTACTTCATTAGACTTCTGAAGAAAATACAGTAGCACAATATAAACCAGTCATACATACATAGCCAGTCGGAAGTAAATCAACTGGCTCATGAGAAATCCTTTGCCACTTGAAGAAAAAGTACATTGAAATCGCATGTTAAACTAGTAGTCACCAACAGGTGCCTATTATATTATTCTATTTAACAATATAGCATTGTTTTGAGCATTCAAGGAAAAAAAAATGGAAGTGCTTTGTAACAAATGTAATCATAATCATTCTGTGTTTAATAAATTCTTTCAATATAAAATGAACCTTTTCTTGTACCTTAACTCAGTAATTCAGTCAAGAAATCACTTAGAAAGAGCATGCATCTGTTTGCTTTTGAGAACTAACTTGCTATTCCATCTAGAATTATTCAGTAAGGTAAGTATATCATAAAAGACTACTCTGAGAATTATAACATATTTGTTCATTTATTCATTCTTCTATCCCTTCCTTTAAACAGTTTCAGGAAATGGCCCAAAAGCAACGTGAGGTGAAGATATCTTAAGAAAAAAACAAAAGAACTTTAGGAAAATCTATTCCTAAAACACATCAACTCCAATTTTCAACAAGTGCCCGTGGTTCAAGTTTCTGTAGCTACTAACGATGTTATGTGTGACATCTTGATCAACCTTCTTCCCCATCCACTGTCCTTTGTTCCTTTCATCTCGCCCCTCCCCCTCAATGGTATATACAAGAAACCATTTAAAAATTACATCAAGTCCTTAAAAATGTAAGAGTGTCAAAGACATTAAAATTAAGATTCTCAGAAGACAGATGTCAACTTCTTACGTCTTCACTTTTTCTTTGTTTTTCCCCCCTCATGACCACAGCTATTTCACGCACCCATTTCACACAAACACGTTCTAGGGGAAACTGCTATTTGTGCACGCAGGTGGGTAAGAAAGAAAATACAGTAACACACGGTACACCAGCCACACATACTTAGCCAGTATTTTCTTCCTTGGGAGAAGAGCTAGCTTCCCTAGGACTCAGGAGGAAGGAAAAGAAGCCAGCCTAACCGGGAAGTTCTTTCTGGGGCCCCAGCGGGGTGCTCCCCGACCCTGCCGTCCTTCCTGGGCCCCTCTGCCCACCGCTTGCGCGAGCGAGGACCTTGTCGCTTCTCTAACCAGACTTTCTAGCCGCTGGCACCTGAGAACCCTGAGTGCAAGGGAGTGGACGGCCCGCGCATCACCACGAAGAGGCAAAATAGCCGCGTCCTTGGGCTCTGAAAACGCCCTGCTGCGCGCCTACCTGAGTGATCCCCACGCGGAGAAGCGCTGAGCCCCTCTGGCTGCTCCGGGACCGCTGCCCCCAGGAACCGCGGTGGCGGGGTCTGCAAGGGTGCAGTGGAGAGTGTGTGTGTGTGTGTGTGTGTGTGTGTGTAAGGGTGAGTGGGAGGGTGTGGCCGGGGGTGCAGGGGTGGGGGCAGGGCCAGGCGCTGGGGTCAGGATGCCCGCGCGGCTCTTCGCCCAGATTCTCCAAGAACCTGGGCGCACGCGGAGTTGACAGGTGTGGGCGCCGGCGGAGGGCGCGTGGCACGGGGCGAGGCAGCGATCATCCCAGTATTGGCAAAAGTCCCCTTTATAAGAGCGGCCGGTGGGGGCGATCGTCAGATCTCAAGATCGGACGTCAGAGGAAAGTGGTGCTGGGGCGGATGCTGGGGCGGGTGCTGGGGACAGTGCCCTCGGGAGCAAGGTGGGTGCCCAGGAAGCCCGGTCTGAAGAACTGGGGCGCAGTCTGGGCTCCAGGCCAGTGCCACAGTGACACCCTGGTCCCTGACACTTGCAGGGAGAGTCCCACCAATCCCCCTTCTCTCCTCCAGGAAAGAGGGCGTGATTCCCTAGGGTCATTACCAATTCTAACTTCCCTGGACTCTGGTTGGAAGCAGGGAACTGGGAGGGTCTCAGACAATTATATTTTCAGGGAGCAGCTGGAAGTGCAATAGAGAAGAGGGGTCAGTGTTCTTCCCAGACTTTGTCTGTCTGGTGTCTTGAGGCTTCTGTCACTGAGAGCCCAGAGGCATGCATGCTCCTGCTGCCTCCCTGGCCTCAGGGAGCCTGACCGTGGCTTCCCTGGAGATGGGTTCTATCCAGCAGACATTTCCAGAATGTTTCAAAAGTCATTTATCAAGTCCCCTTTCACTTTTAAACAGAATCAAATGAAAGATTCTAGGAGTTGTCCAAAACACATAAAGTTACTACATAAGGCAGGCAAGACAGCTTTCCTTGTAGAGCAACTAGGTTGCTTGCCCACAAAAATTTATTCCAGAACTCCAAAGAATTTTCTATAGAAGTTTAAAATGTCTATCTGTCCACACCTAGATATCTATATTTACGTGCTACCTAGATTATTTAGATATTCATGGATATAGTTACATATCCACAGTATACATAACTATCTATATCATTTCCATAGTTCACCTACCAGTGTATTAAACAGTAAAATATAAAAAATCTAAACTGACAGAACAAATAAGAGTATTTTTTAACTCTTGTCCACCTCTTTCTAAGCAAAATTTCTGATGACCCCCAATCTTTTTACACTGGATATAGAAATGAACCCTCAAGTTTATATCACTACTCCTTTCCTTTGTTCTTGTAAAAAGAGTAACTGCATCCTCCACTGTGTGTGAGATAAGGAAGCCTCCAGGAGTTCAGAGAGAACAGACAGGGAGAAGGGCCTGCGTGAATAGCTATGTCTTTCTGCTTTTCTGGAAAAGGCTGAGACAGCCTCTCAACATAGTCCTTTTCACATGAAAGTGTTATACATTGAAGCAATTTTGAGTAACGGACTCTGGACTTTGACCACAGGTTTAATTTATGTCTTACCTACCAGAATAGAGTTAAGGTGATAGCGACAAGCAGCTAGTGGTGTCACAGGACTGGCATGGGCTATGGCAGTGTGTGAAATCTGCACAAGGCTTAGGTCAGGAAGCTAGACTCAAGTACAAAGAGGGACAAAAGAGATGGCTGTCCTCACAGAAATACCACCAAAGCTTTTAGGTATATGAATTGGGAATGCAGCCAGGACACGACTCTCTTTGGGGCCCACCTAATCCACTTTAAGAAGCCAGACTTGCCAGACTAGATTCAGTGCCAAATCTAGGAAGATGCAATGACCTTGAAGGTGACCAAAAAAAGTTCTGACCTGGCAGAGTAGCTGTTTTCATGACAAAAGCACCAGTTGAAAATAACAACTGCTAATGCACTGAGTCTGCTCCTGTAGACATTTCCTCATTTGCCAAGTCTTTTGAGCTCCTGTGTCTGATCTAAGGATGACACTGCAGTGATTTCTGCTCCAGAACGCACCCTCCCAGACACCTACTCTTTTGTCTGCAGTATGTACCTCTGTTTTCAGTCTCCTGAGAATATGTGATCATGCTTGGAGTTAGAGAAATACATGTCAGTTGAAGATCCATTGCAGCTTTGGAGGATAAAAAGCAGTTTTTTTTTCATTTCCAAATCATTTATTTATTTCAGATACATTTTCTAAGTGGCTTTTATGTTCCAAGCACTGTCCTAAGAACTAAGAAACATGTAGAAAATTATATAGACACCCTGCCCTTAAGCAATTGATCTTTTGTGAAAGGAAAGAAGGAAAAAGTAAACAAAAGCTCTACTTCAGTAAGCTATTATAATTGCCATGGAAAGATGTATCATATCTGTATACAGATGTTAGGCAAAGCACAAACTAAAGTCCTTAATCACATGGGACAAGAGGGAGATTTATTCATTCAACAAACACATGGCAAGCATCCACTATGTTCCAGGAATTATCATATGAACTAGGTATATACCCAAGTGACTGAAACCAAATTAACCCCGTTCAATGAGCTAATGGTCTATAACCTCGCTACTGAAGTGTGGCCCTGGGAGTAACACTGTCAGCATCATCTTTTTAAGATAATACTGGTGATTTGAGAAGAACATAACTTGGCATACATGTATTGAACATGAATGTAAATGCTGATGATATTGGGGGTTCTATTTTAAGTCCTTATCCCTCATAATGTCCCAGTTTTCTCATACAATTTTTACTTGAACTTTTCATAACTTTAATTGATTACATTTAGGTTTAATTGAAACTTGGCCTGTCATTTCAAAACCAGCGTGATCATCAGAATCATAGAGTGCTTTGTAAACTGCAGATTCTAGGGCCCCATAGCAAGAATTCTGATTCACTAAATCTTGGGCAGAATTAAAAAAATATTTTTTTAGTAGGCCATTTTTTTAAAAAGCAGCTTTAGATTAGCAACAAACTTGGGCAGAACTTATTGTCAATATACTCCCTCCCTCCATGCATGCATAGCCTCATTAACATCCATCATTAGTATCCCCTACCAGAGTGGTACATTTGTTATAATGGTTGAACTTACCGGGACACATCAGCATTCAGAGTCCACAGTACCCATTAGGGTTCATTCTCGGTGTACTTTCAGTGGGTTTGTACAAATGTATATTAACGTGTATCTTTTATTATAGTATCATATGGAGTAGTTTCATTGCCCTAAAAGTCATCTGTGCTTCATCAATTCATCTCTCCCTCCCCACTGTCTCCATAGTTTGCCTTTTCCAGAATGTCATAGAGTTGGAAACAAACAGTAAGTAACCTTTCAGATTAGCTTCTCTCAATTAGCAATAGCATTAAAGTTTCTTCCATGTCCTTTCGTGGCTTGATAGCTCATTTTCATTGCTGAATAATATTTAATTGTCTGAATGTACCAGTTTACTAAAGAATATTTTAGTTGCTTTCAAGTTTGGGCAATTATGAATAAAGCTGCTATAAACGTCCATGTACAGGTTTTTGTGTGGGCATACATTTTGACTCCATTGGCTAAGTACAAAAAAGTATGATTGCTTGATCCTATATGGTAAGAGTATATGCCCAAGTGATTTAGTTATAATAAAGTGTCCAACTCTCTTTCAATGTGGCTGCAGCATTTT